TTAAATATATAAAGGGAATCAACACAGTAAAGGAGGAGACTATATTTAAAAGAAGAAAAACTACCACAACAAGAGGACATAGTCTTAAATTAGAGGGACAAAGGTTTAAAAATAATATCAGGAAGTATTACTTTACTGAGAGGGTAGTGGATGCATGGAATAGCCTTCCAGCTGAAGTGGTAGAGGTTAACACAGTAAAGGAGTTTAAGCATGCATGGGATAGGCATAAGGCTATCCTAACTATAAGATAAGGCTAGGGACTAATGAAAGTTTTTAGAAAATTGGGCAGACTAGATGGGCCGAATGGTTCTTATCTGCCGTCACATTCTATGTTTCTATGTTTCTATGTTTCTATGTTTCTATGTATAAGTGTATAAATAAAAAAGTGTTTAAGTGTATTCATTAGGCAGTGTATGAGTGTGTTTGAAGCAGTCTATGTGTATATATGTATATATAAGGCACATAGGTGTGCCATTGTATTAGGATATGCACCCTGGCTGCAACCCTTGTCAGACATCCCAACATGCAAAAGCTCATTTCAGGGAGGTGGCTTCACCAGCAACTGCACGCACGCTTACACACACACATGCACGTCCCAAAACACACACAGCCACCAAACATGTATGAACAATTACATTATATTTTATTATGACAGAACACAATTATTTACATATTACAACTATTTACACACACTATTAACACACTGACTCATGCACACACCTTGACACACAGATACGGACACTGTCACATAATCACACAGATACGGACAATAACACCCAGATACGGATACTGACACACACACACAGATACGGACAATAACACACAGATACAGATACTGACACACACACACACACACACACACTGTCACATACATACACAGATACACACACTGGCACAAAAACACTCAGATACACACACACTCAAATACACACAGATACACACACTGGTACATACACACACTTAGATACATACAGATACACTTACTGACACACACACACTTAGATAGATACAGATACACACTCACTCAGATACACAATTGCACATGTACATACACACATTTAGATACACACTGACACAGATATACACACACTCAAATATACACAGATACACACACTGGTACATACACACACTTTTATACATACAGACACATATACACAGACACACATACTAGCACATACACACACAAGGCATAACAATTTGATCTGCAGCCACCCTTAGCTCACCTTGTGTCCTGGCTGCGGCTGATGGGAGTGAGCATGTAGCTGCTCACTCCAGCCTCTTCTCTGACTCCATGCTGCCTGTGTGCTCCAGCCTCCTCCCTCCCACGCTGCTGTCTTCTTAGCTGGGAGGAAGTGACAGGCCGGGACCCTGCTCAGAAAGAATATTCATGGAGGGGTGAGGGGGGTTTCTTAATATACGCTAAATGCCCTTAATTTATTGAGGGCATTTAGCATATTTAATAGCCTGGAAATCACACACACAATCTGATATTTATAGTATGTCAGATTGTTTGTGTGATTTACGGGATATTGTTTGACACTTGAGGGTGTCAGGGAGCCACACTACACATACAAGAGTCTTCCAGACCTACCGGGAGACTTGGGATGTCTGCCTTGTGCATGCCTATGATGGCAGTGTATTGGTGTATGCACTAAGCAGGGCATGTTTGAATATAGATGTATGTATAAAGCATTATTCATATAGATGTAGCATGTGTATGGTACAGCTTGCATGTAAGAAAGGGTGTTTGAATGCAGGAAAGTGTGACCAGATATAGAGCAGAGTATATATATATATGTATATAGATGTATGTGTGGAGTATGTGTGCACACATCAATGTGATAGCAGTGGAAATACCGCACCGGGGCCTGCACGCTGGAGGGGCCCATTGGATGGCCCATGCATTTAGGGCCACCCAATGGGTATTGCTGAACAGGTGCTTGGGTCAGGCGCCATAGCCGTTTAAGAGTGAGACTAGGCTCCTGTAGTATTGGATGCTGGGAAGAAGTGACAGAGGGTCACTTCCTTCCAGTCTAAATTAAGAGCCCGCGCAGGAGGGAGAAGGAGGCACAGGCAGCAGCAGGGAATGATCTGCTACAGACCCCACACATCAGCCATCAGCCTCAGCCAGAAGCACCCCAAGCAGGTCACCCTTCTGCTTACAAAAGCTATGTAACAGGAGGGTAAGCATAAAAATCTGTGACATATGTGTGTCAGTGTGTATCTTTGTGTATATCTGTGAGTCAGTATGTGTATCTGCATGTTTGTGTATGTGTCAGTATGTGTATCTGTGTGTCAGTGTGTATCTGTGTGTCAAAATGTGTGTATGCCACTGTGCGTACCTGAGTGTGTGTGTGTGTGTGTCATTATGTGTATCGGTGTAACACGGTGTGTGCATTTGTCAGTGTGTTTATATGTGTGTATCTGTATCTTAATGTGTATGTATATCTGTATATACATACAGAGCAATTAAACACAACATGCAAACACACCCCTACAAAAACAAACATTATATACAAACACACCCATCCCTGAAATCAAACTCGAGAATTATATACAATAACACCCCTCGCTCAAACACCAGTAGTACACACAAATGTACATCTGCATTTAAAAGACACTACATCCAAACACACCTCTGTATGCAAATGCAAACATTACATACAAACATACCCCTGTATTAAAATGCTAAAGTTATATACAAACACCAACTCTACACACAAAAGCAAACCTGCATTCAAACGCAAACACTACACACAAGTACACCACTGCATTCCAATGGTAACAGTACATACAAATACACCCCTACATGCACACTCATACTCTATACAAATTTTTTTTGACATTCAAACACAAACACTGCTCACAAATATAGAAAAGGAATGAAGACAGTATCCAAGGCATTCACTCCAAATTGAAGTGAGTGTCTAGGAATAAGTACAACTTAATTTAAATAAATAGCTTGCATGCCAAATAAAATAGTAAAAACCTACTGTTCACAGTGAAAGGTCCTAAATAGGAACAGAATATACATACTAGGTATAAAGAGAAACACCATGGGGTGTAGACAAGCATTCCCTCTGCCCCTGACGACGGCGTTATAATACTCTGAAACGCGCGTCGGGCTCAATTTATTTATTTTAATATACACTTTTGCACTTGTTAGGTAGCACCTTTTTTATTTTGTGTTGGAGTTACATACACCCCGTTCTAAATTATAATGCAAATGTTATTTTTCCCATTTACCTAAATAATTGATGTAAATAACAGTCAGCATAATTATCATGTTATCAACTATTAAGAGTACAATTCAAATTTTATTGAACAAACCTCCTAATAAAAACAGTATTTTTTTTTAAACATAAAAAACTTACAATGCACTGTTCCAAATTATTATGCACAGTAAGTTTCAAAACACTTTACAGGTTGTAAAGAACTGAAAATTGTCATTTGTTGTGTTCGCAGCATATTTAGTGAAATCAAAAGCTATTTCAATCAAACTTATAACTAGACATGTGAAATTCGTTTCGGTCCGAATGTGAATTCAGATGAATTTCGGGCAATTCGGACATTCAGGTACTTCTGAATGTCCGAATAGATGAATTGCCGAATTGTCGAAGTCCCGAAGTTCCGAAATTACCGAATTTCCTAAGTGCCGAAGTTCCAAAGTACAGTATTGCCTAAGAACTAATATACTTACCCAGTGGAAGAATGAAGAATGTTACACTGTATACAATTTTAAATAAAAAGTATACAAACATAGCCAGGATTCAGCTGTAAGCATTTGCAACACTTACAACAATCAAGTAACATACATTCATATAAAATGTAAGTTACTTAGCCAGTCATGTAATGATAGGAATGAATAGATAACTCCCTAATTCCCACAGTATTGGGAGCTATCTACTAAAAGACCTAAATTGGTCTTTCAGCCAAACTTACTAATACTAAGTTAAGATTACTTAGTATTAGTAAATTATGCCCCTACTCGCTATACCGCGAGTAGGGGCATGTCTATTAAACAGTGAGCAGCCCGTGGCAGGTGGGGGCCCTAAAGTAAAATAATGGGGGGACCTATTGTCCCCCCCCCGGCCCCCACCCCTGAGCGGCGGGCCCTAAATCAGAATAAGGGGTGGACCTAATGTCCTCCCCCCTGGCCCCCACCCCTGAGGGGTGGGTGGGGGCCCTAAATTATAATAAGGGGGGGGACCTAATGTCCTCCCCCCCTGGCCCTTACCCCCGATCGGTGGGCGGGGGCCCTAAATTAAAATAGGGGGGGACCTAATGTCCTCCCCCCTGAGCGGTGGATGGGGTCCCTAAAGTAAAATGATGGGAAGGGAACCTATTGTCCTCCCCTCCAGCCTCCACCCCACCCCTATAATTAGCAGTGAGGGGACATTAAAGGGACTCTCCAGTGTCAGGAAAACAAACCGTTTTCCTGGCACTGCAGGTCCCCTCTCTCCCCCCCCCCATCCCATGTCACTGAAGGGGTTAAAACTCGGCGCTGTGTAAGGGTCCGCCCACGCTCCTCCCCCGTCTATGTCATCTGGCGGGGGAGACCTAATGTGCATGCACAGCCTCCGCATAGACCTTTCCTATGGGGATTTCAGCGCCGCGGGAGGTCCTCACACTTGTCATGTGCTATAAACCAGGAAGTGCCCTTTAGTGGCTGTCTAGTAGACAGCCACTGGAGGAGGGTTAACCCTGCAAGGTAATTACCGTTTATGAAAACGGCAATATTTACAGTTGCAGGGTTAAGGGTGGTGGGAGTTGGCACCCAGAGCACTCCAATTGGTAGAAATGGTCTGGGTGCCTGGAGTGTCCCTTTAATCACACTCACATTGCCCACACTCCCTCCCAGCCGGCTGTCACCGTGTGCCGGCTCTGACTGAGAGCTTTCATTACAAAAAAGAATAAAAAGCCGTTAGCCCCGCCCCTTCCCCGTGCGTGCTCGCCCACGAGACGCTCCACGAACAGAAACCAGTAGTCTGCCCCCCCTCCTTCTCCTATGTGCGCGCTCCCTGTGACGTCACGAGCGCCATATTGGACGGCGGCCGGAGCTCCTCGTCCCCTAAGGTGTTTCCGTGTCGGTCGCTGGTCGGGCTGAGTAACGTCGCGGTGCCGGAGGGGCGGTTATTGTGTCCCGGACCAGTGAAGAGAAGGCGGCTCGGTGGGAGCGGGGCCGGCTGTGAGCGCTGTGTGTCCAGGAGCCAGCCGGTGTGAGGATCGGATCCACTCTCAGCCACCATGGATGCCGACCGGCTGCAGGAAGCGCTGAAAGGTCATTACCGCCGCCAGGCTCCGGGCTCATACAGGGCGGGGGGATAGACAGTGACACAGGGCGGGACACACCCCTACACTTACCGGGGTAACTGGGGTGATGGGGTACAGGTGCCCACAATGCCCTGCTTCTTATCTATTGACATGTGCTTCCCACTGATCCCCTCCACCTCTGGCAACTGCATCCTGTACCCCTCCACCTCTGGCAACTGCATCCTGTACCCCACCACCTCTGGCAACTGCATCCTGTACCCCTCCACCTCTGGCAACTGCATCCTGTACCCCTCCACCTCTGGCAACTGCATCCTGTACCCCTCCACCTCTGGCAACTGCATCCTGTACCCCACCACCTCTGGCAACTGCATCCTGTACCCCACCACCTCTGGCAACTGCATCCTGTACCCCACCACCTCTGGCAACTGCATCCTGTACCCCACCACCTCTACCCTGCCCACTGTGCGTCACCCTTCCCCGGTTCCCTCCCCGCGCGCACTGTGCATCACCCTTCCCCGGTTCCCTCCCCGCGCGCACTGTGCCTCACCTTTCCCCGGTTCCCTCCCCGCGCGCACTGTGCCTCACCTTTCCCCGGTTCCCTCCCCGCGCGCACTGTGCCTCACCCTTCCCCGGTTCCCTCCCCGCGCGCACTGTGCGTCACCCTTCCCCGATTCCTTCCCCGCTCCTCTCCTGGCACAGCACAAAACACGTTTTTTCGCATGGACAGCCACTAGAGGCACCTTTGCCAAAAAATTTAGTAAAACTGGGCTATTTGAGTCACGTAGTCCCAAAGAGACTGACTGGAACAGTGTTTTCCTAAAATAAAGCATTGGATTAGATAATCAGGTTAATCTTAGCAAAGGTCCAGCACCTATAGCGTTAAAGGAACACTATAGTCACCAGAACAATTACAGCTTATTGAATTTGTTCTGGTGAGTAGAATCATTACCTTCAGGCTTTTTGCTGTAAACACTGACTTTTCAGAGAAAATGCAGTGTTTACATTACAGCCTAGTGATAACTTCACTGGCCACTCCCCAGATGGGTGTTAGAGATCCTTCCTGGGTCATGGCTGCCTAAAATGCATCCAAACATTCAGTATCTCCTCCCTCTGCATGCAGACACTGAACTTTCCTCCTAGAGATTCATTGATTCAATTCAGCTCTATGAGGAGATGCTGATTGGCCAGGGCTGTGTTTGAATCATGCTGGCTCTGTCCCTGATCTGCCTTTTTGTCAGTCTCAGCCAATCCTATGGGGAAGCACTGTGATTGGATCAGGCTACCACTTCTGATGTCAGCAGACTGCTTGTTTTTTTTTGAGGCAAACAGCATGCAGAGCAACAGCTTCAGGCTTGAATACAGTAAGATTTTGCTATATTTATGGATGCATGAGGGGCCCAGGGGGGCTAGATGGTGATTTTAACATAATAGGGTCAGGAATACATGTTTGTGTTCCTGACACTATAGTGATCCTTTAAGAGCACATGTTTGGATTCCAAACACTATAGTGTTCTTTTAACACTTGATCTTCTTTCAGATTTGCAGTGATATACATTTAAAGTAGCTGGCATCCCACCACTGAAAACTCACTTATGTGCTTTGGACATGCTGAAACTTGTCCCTATCACATTATAAAGTACAATACTATAGTTATTGGCATTTATATAGCACCAACGTATTATATGTTGCGGAATATGTCTTGCGTTATCTGTATTGGAGTTATAAGGAAGTTTACAATTCGTTTGAGCTATACTTAAAACCATTTTTTTTAACCACTAAAACATTTAAAGATAGATTGCTGTATGTACCCTAGACTATATTAGTTCCCATAGGTTCTAGATGACATGCATGATTAGTTTGGTAAATTGAATTTCTTTGCCAGGTGACAGTCTTATCTACAGGATATACAAGGGTAGTTTCATAGTAACCTTCTTTAAAGGGATTCTATAGTTCCAGGAAAACAAAGCAGTTTTCCTGGCTCTATATGGTTATTAGGTGCCCCCCTCCTGCACCCCTTCAGCCACTTACCTGAATCCAGCGCCGATATCCCTTGTCGCTCTGTCCGGCTTCGCCCACACTCTTCAGCATCAGTGGCCGCGCGCTCATTATATCTCCCCATAGGAAAGCATTACTCAATGCTTTCCGATGGGGAAAATCTGACGCTGGAGGTCCGTGAGGACGTCCAGCATCAGATAACGGACCAAAAGTCCGTTTGGATTCTTGAAGCCCTCTAGTGACTGTCTGTTAGAGAGCCACAGAGGGCAGACTTAGAGCTGCAATGTAAACATTAAGTCAATATAAAACATATTGACCATTCCATTGTCTGCGCATAGAATGGGTCCGGATAGGAGGATAGACTCTATAGAAAGGTGAGTTGAATGAAAAATGTATACTTGGCAAAACTTTGTCAAGATTGAAAAGTGTTGGAAATAAACATAGGATACTCCTCCCCCATTTGAAAGGTTACTCTAAGCACGATGACCACTTCAATTATTTGAAGTAGTCATGGTGCGTGGAACCTATAGGTCCAACTTTTCACTATCTAAAGCTGCACATATAGTTTAGCATCTCTGCTACCACCTCCGGCTGTGACATTGGCCAGCCTGAACAAGAGTTCTAGGCTGACTAATGTATATTTGGTACAAATTTGTCAGTTATGACACACACCCCTATGCCCCACCCAAGGAAGATTGAGTTGCAGGGAGAACTTGGCCTGGGCAATGGAATTGAGGCAACTGCTTTTTATTTTATTTTTTTAAATTTTTTAAAGGGGATTATAGGAGGAGTTACTCTAATCAAATCCACTTCCTGTGTAGTTTTTATACCTGACATAGAGAAACATTGCGACACAATGCACATGAACGTCAGTAGTCCTTGTCTGACATTTTGTGTTTTAGAGCAGTATTATTCGATGAGAAGCACTTGCTTCTGTTATGAACTACAATTCAAAGCCAATGAGACAGGAAACCCTCCCGGCTGCTTGACAGTCAGGAAATGTTACTAAAGGGTATTTACAAAAGTGTCAACTCACTTGAAATTGGCACAGGTATACAATAAGCATGTAGTTTCAGTCAGCTAGGTGAAATGATTAAAGTGTTTGGCATTTAGCTTTAAACATTACAGGAACAGTAAAAGCATCCAGACCACTTCATCTAAATGAAGTGGCCCGGGTGCAATGCCCTAGCTGTTTTAATGCAGAATGTAAACCATTGTTGTTTTATAGAAACACCATGTTTTCATTGCAGGGTTAAACATGCCTCTGACTTTTTTCTTAATCAAATACTTCTCTTTGATTTGACAGTGATTTGACACTGTACTTTGGATCCCTTTAGTAAAGGCTGTAAAGTACCTTTGTGGTTGTGATTGGGGACCATTGTACAACATAATTTCCTATTCCACTTCTTTGTCTCCCTGTCTTGGCTATTGCTTCAGCTTTAATTCTCATGGCAATCTTATTTCTTCTTTTAAACCAGTAATTAAGTGTTACACACTGGTATTCATAACATCGGACCTCCATGGTAGAGGTCCGCTAACCACCAAAATGCAACGAAAAGTGAAGAGTCACGGGCTGCACAGCGTAGGATGAATACTCTGATTTATAATGGGATCAAGGACAAAACAGAGATGACGTTTCTGCTGTGAGGCCTTAATCCCAGGAAAGCAAGTTTTTCCTGGCACTATAGTAACCCTTAAAAATCTGTTTGAAAAATATCTGTCCACCTATGTGATTGACCTGGTTAGTATTCATATATCCACTGTTAAGGCTTTAAATTTGTTGACTCTGTGACTGATACATAATTTGACATAGTGACTGTTCTTAATATAGGGAATCTACGTTTCTGCATCCTCATGCTCACAGATAAACAGTTAAAGAGATATATATTTTCCAGTTACTGATACAAATACACACACACACAATGGTCCTTGCTGCCAGATGAGCAATGCCAAACACATGTATAGGTACAAATACACCCTGCCAGATGCACTCTATCAGACACACACAGTGACATATGTCAGTGTGTGTCTATGCGTCTGTATGTGCATGTATAAGAGTAAGTATACATGTCTGTGTATTTGTGTGTGTGTGTCCAAAGAGGAATGACAACGTGAAAGCTATGTTATTGCTAATGTGGAAAAATATACAATAGGCATTAGTAGATATAATTTTAAGGGAAGCAGTTATTTCTTTGATTTAAATTCCAGAGAAATGATAGGTCCCCTTAAAGATATACTAGACATCAAATCAACTTTAGTTTAAAGGGGGACTCCGGACACCAAAACAACTAGATGCACTCTTAACCCTATAGGGTCAGGAACATAAACGTATATTCCTGACCCTACAGTGTTAAACCTACCATTTAGGTGGCTTCCCCCTCTTAGCCCTCTTATAAAAGTTTAAAACTCGCCTTATTTCCAGCGCCGCACAGGTCTGCTGGCGCTGGCTCCGCCCCCTTTGTGACATAATCAAAATGGCCGATTTTAGCAAATCCAATGTTTTCCCATAGGGAAAGCATTGGATTGGCTAAAATCTGTGCGGGGCCAAATGCCGTTTTGGCCAATCAGGACCTCCTCATAGAGTTGCATTGAATCACTGCATTTCTATGAGGAAAATTCAGTGTCTCCATGCAGAGCGTGGGGACGCTGAACGGCAGGGCTGCTTTTTCGGAAGCACTGACCCAGGAAGCACCTCCAGTGGTTACTTGGAGGTGTCCCCAGAGGCAATGTAAACACTACCTTTTCTCTATAAAAAGGCAGTGTTTGCATGAAAAAAGCCTGAAGGGAACTATTACACTCACCAGAACAACTACATTAAGCTGTAGTTCTTCTGGTGACTATAGTGTTCCTTTAAGGGGTTAAACAGTTCTTGAACGGCTTAACCCTAAAGTTGCCTCTAGCGCCGATCTTATCCATCCCAGACAGTATCCGGTTTCTGAAATTTTAATTTCAGAAAGTGCATAGTGCTGCTGATTGTCTGAGAGTGGTCAGCTGATGCTCTCAGTCAAATAGTGACTCCCCATTCACAAAACTGGCTTGAAAATAAACTTTTTCAATCCATTTTAGTGAATGGGGAGTCAGTGATTGTTGTTATGGGGCCTAAACTGTCTCTTTAGTGAAGCAGTTTTAGTGTATAGATCATTTCCTGCAGTCACTCAACTCTCTGACATTTAGGAATTGTTTCTTTCAGTGCAGCCCTAGCCACACTTCCCCAGTCTGTGACGGACACTATTAAGGTTTAATTTTCAATCAGAGGTCAACTTGCTTTATGAGTTTTTATCTTCTGTTCTGTAAATGTAACTTTAGTCACACACAGTAGGCCCTTCCAGGGTTTTAGAAGGTTCTTAACAGACTATGCAATAAAGTAAGTTTAAAGGAACACTATAGTGTCAGGAACACAAACCTGTATTTCTGACCCTATAGTGTTAAAATCACCATTTTAGCACCCCTTACACCTCAAAATATAGTAAAATCTTACCTTTATTCCAGTCTGCTGCTGCTGACTCTGCCCCTGATCTACATCCTTGGCTGATATTATCAGAAGTGATGATCTGGGCCAATCATAATGCTTTGCATTGGACTGGCTGAGATTGCCAAGGAGGTGGAACAGGGGGCAGAGCCAAACGCCACCCTGGCCAATCAGCATCTTTTCCTAGAGATGCATTGAATCATTTTTTTTCTATGTAGAAAGTTCAGTGTCTCCATGCAGCGGGTGAAGACGCTGAATGTCAGTGCTGCACGTTCATTAAACTAAAGTTGTTTTTCTGTCTATAATGTAAAAAAAATGTAAAAATTTAAGTTTATTGGGCTCTAAACAAGAAGCTGCTCAAACATTGTTAGTATCCTTTTTAAAACATTTAGCAAGGTTGTGTTTTTCTTTTAGTTTAATGTATGGAGAAACTGAATTGGAGCTTTTAGATAAGATTGAAGGTCTCTCTTCCTTTTGGCAGAGATAAGTAACCTTGGCACTGCATATGTTTATGAGCTGCAGACCTTTAGGCTGTCTGTGTGGAGTGGGAAATATACTTTACAAACCTCTGAGTTTCAATGATTAACCATTGCTGCCATAGTGCATTCTGTATTCTTATTGGGGTCCAAGGAATACAGCATTTAAACTCTGCTAATCCCTGATGATGTCAGTCCCATATATTTTATAGAACTCAGTTTCTTAATGATAGTTTCCATTGAAGACTTGGTCGCAGGAAATTCTCTCCAAATGGAACCTTGTACACTACTTTTCCTTACCAGCTGCAAAAATGTAACTCTTTTTCTTTTTTCTTTTCAGAGTTTGAAAAGCGTGGAAAGAAGGAAGCCTCTTCAGAACTCGATCAGTTTTTATGTCATGTGGCGAAAACTGGAGAAACCATGTAAGTCTGATGCCTTACAATCTCATGCTAGTGGTTGCTTAAAGCTGTTTTCTGACTATTTAAAGGGTTAAAGCAGGTACCATCTTTTCCCTAACCATAGCTTCCCTGACCATTTTTAACCCCTAATGTTATTGTAATGACAAGGGATGACAAGCTCATAGGTACATGTAGCACATATGCTCCTCACAATACTAAGGACTAATATCTGTTGGGATTTAGGTTGATGTGCTATCCCGGCATTGACATAATGTTTATGGACAGTGAAAGCATGGGACAGACTACTGCTGGTAATCTGTGCTGTGTGTGTCAGCAAATGTGTAGTTTGTATATGTATGGATCATTGTGTGTGTATTGGTGGATGTGTGTGTCAATATGGAGTGTATCATAACCACATACAGCAGGCAGACACCAAGCACAGTCAGCACTTTCTGCACACACGACATACACTAAAAAAGGGGGAGACTATGGGAGGGTAGAGGGTAAGACTCTCGGCTTGTCTTTTGAATCCTTTCCAAACTTGATAGTAATTGAAGCCTCTCCACCTTCCATTTGTTTTCAGTGGCAGTGGCAAGCATATATTTGAGACCCCTTTCTAGCAAAGTATTACTTGAAGCAATCACAATGCTTACAATATCGCTTTATCTCATTGAAATGGTTGGAGTGTCTGGATTTGATGCTGCTGTCCTCCAATTCTGTGTTAAACCAGGAAGTAGTTTTTCTGTGGCCTACAGTGCCCCCCTCCCTCGTGGATGCATAGCGTGAACATGTCAATTATCAATAATTGCAGGGTTCGGGGGACTGTGACTGTGCACCCAGACCATTTCAATGAGCTGAAGTGGACTGGGTACCTCTAGTGTCCCTTTAAACGTAAGAAGGCAACTACTGAAGTCATTCCACAGGTGAACACTTTTCATGTGAAATCCATCCATATGTATAAACAAAAAAGAGAGGAATACCGCACACTTGTTACAATCCTGGTGCAACCAGACCTAGGGTTGGCAACCCCTCCTTTGATATATATTATCAACTCTTTATGACTCTTATTGTGACATTCTAAACAGAGATTACAAGGGTAAAAAAATGATTTTTGATTAAAAACATTATTTATTTTTTTAATAAAACTTCTAACTAAATTTTGTTTTAAGTTATATATATTTGGTTTCTCCCCAATTATATTCTTAAGGCCATTATCCATTTTTAAGACATACCAAAACATTTTTTTAAATGTTGAATTTGGTATGACGGACTATTAAAATCTAAAGTAATGGAGGTGCCTTTATTATTGTTTCCATTGTCCTTTTGCATTGGATGTTTATCATTTTTTTTTTTTTTTTATTCAAAATTTAGTCCCTTTAATGACTGGACTTACTTTAATTGCTGGTCGAAAATATTCAAGTCATAATTTTTTCCAGAAAATTCCTTGTTATCACTAGTTCTTTAAAATTCTCATAAACGGTCCCTTAGGTACATTTTTCAACCAGGGTCTATAATGGCAACTAGTAGTGTCAACAAAATTGTTGACATCCACTTAAAAAAAAAAAAAAAAAAAATGTTTTTGGTGGAGGGTGGGGCCTGGCGGTCATGAGCATTCTGCATATCACTGTGGCTCCTGAAGAACCTAACAATTTTCTGATAAATGCTTACCTTTCTCTGCCTGTATTATTCTGGAGGCTTATGGCACAGGGTCCTGGAGTTTTCCGGTGTAGCTGGAGCCCCTGATATCGGGTGATTCTGGGTCCCAGAGAGTGACTAGAGGAGGATATGGCCTGTGGGGATTGAGGTGGACTGCCGCTGATTTGCTATCTGCACTGGCTGCTGCGAATTGGCAACTTATCTGGTTCCTTACTGGTCCCATTCCGAACCCCCTCCTTTAGACCGGCGGGGGTTATCATGGTCTCCACTGAGGAGGCTACTGCCCTGCTGATCTGGGGCAGATGAGCTTACCCTTATGGCCTACTCTTTAAGATGGACACGAGACCATGTGGCGGCGCTGGCACCTGAGCGCGAGATCTACAAACCACTAATGATCGGCTGATTATTACAAGCTTCAGGACCCGGGGGCTCTCCCGACTGAGGACACTTCTACCCCAACTCTACCGGCGGGTGGATGTCCAATGTTCAGCATCAACACACGACACATCTCTGTGGAAGAGCCTATCTGGGCTGAGCGCTAATGGGGAAGAAATACCCTCACTGCCCACACTCTTTGATGGCTTAGCGGCGGATTCGCCACCAACCTAAAGTGTTGCGGCACTCAAGGACGAATGCCTTGGACCTACCCAAAATCCGGGACTGTGGAGTAGGGGTGACAGCTCTGATGCAGGCCTGGGGCTGGCGTGATGTGATAATGGTGCTCTTCTGACCTACCAGCACTGACAATTGGTCCCTGCTAATACCAAGACAAGGCATGAGCTGCACAACTCTATGCCCAGACTTGGCCTAATGTATTGTAATGCGATCACAACTGTAGCATAGTAGTGGGCCTAGGTGTGTATTTGACTGTCTGTCCAGAGATATACTATACTGCATTTTCTAACTAAGTTGGCTGGCTTCCCAGGGGTATACACTTCAGCCACATTTACCATGATTGTTTATAGCATAACCACCATCAAAGCTTCTCTGATGAAAATGTAAAAGTTAGTTATTTTATATGCCTGCCTAGTTTTAAATAATGCTATAGTTAGCCGCCTTTGATACAATTGAGGGGCACACCCACAAGCATCCTTGATTAACTCTATACGGGGTGGTGGGCTACAACAACTTTACTTTAATGTGGAAATTGACAACCTAGTACAAGGCATATACACTCTCTTGCTTCCTAACTATGCAGTGCATTAGCTTAACTTGATTCATCTCACTCTTGTTTGTATGCTGAGCACTGTGTTAATTCTATCATTTTACACTCATTATCTTATGCACACAGCCTGTTTCATATATGCAATACCCTTCTTCTCAAACTGAGCTGTGTCCATGTTATATCATCTTCATGTTTTGCTTTTGTTTGCAACTGTATACACCTGCTTTGCGTTGATATGTCTACTTCATTGCAATTTTTCTCATGTATACGGTCTTATCTATGTCAGCACTGAGCACAAAAAAAAAAAAAGTTTTAATAGTAGTGTTCTCGACATAGATTTCCAAATCTACAAAAAATGTACCCTTATTTTACTATATTCGCGAGTTAAAGGACCACTATAGTGCCAGGAAAATAAACTTGTTTTACTTGCACTATAGTGTTAATAGGTCCCCCCCCCACCCTCAGGGTCCCCCTCCCGCCGGGCTCTAAGGGGAGGAAGGGGTTAAACACTTACCTTTCTCCAGCGCTGGGGACTCTCCTCCCTCTTACGCTGCATGCGCGGCAAGAGCCGCGCGCGCATTCAATTAGTCCATATGAAAGCATTCTCAATGCTTTCCTATGGGCCCTGGCGTCTTCTCACTGTGAAAATCACAGTCAGAAGCGCCTCTAGCGGCTATCAATGAGAAAGCCACTAAGGGCTGGATTAACCCTAATGTAAACATAGCAGTTTCTCTGCTGTTTTCACCCAAAAGGAAAGATTCCTCCTATTGGGACATGTAAGGTTGGCATAACTAGACGCAAACCTGGTCCCTATTGTAGTACCAACCATCTGTAAAAAGTAGGAGCCCTCAAACAAAAAATAATTATTATTAAGAATGAACTTTATGCCCTCCAGAATAAAACTAATTTGGAACTCAGGGTAACTATGTTGTCTAAGAAAATGTTCCACCTCCTCATAACCAAAAAGGTGTGAGATGATGGTATACAAGCTCACCATGTCACAAGTGACCAAAAAAAACAATCATCCCCCCCCAACGGACTTCCATCAACCCTTCTTCTTTGGGTGGAGTCCATTGGCTGTGAAACAACTACCGGTTGTAATAATTTTGCGTTGTCATATGTTTAATTCATTTTATTTCACCTTTTGACACTGCTTACATGTGTTCCTTTTAATGTTCCAATAAATGGTTTTTATATCCACCTTGGACTCATTGATCTCTTCACAGTCTACCCTGAAGCCTGCATAGGCACTCTGGAGCTTCTGCTATAGACTGTAGACTGGTACTGTAACATTATTGGCTAAACAATTTTGTGTGAGAAGAAAACCAAAAAAAAAAAAAAAACAACCAACCAAAAACCTTTGTTTACAAGCTAAAAACAAATGTTACTGTTTTCTGAGTAAAGACTTTCTAATAAAAATGTTTTTTTCTTCTTCTGGGGGAATCTCTTGCCTTGCATTGTTATAGACCAGCACGGTCCAAGTGCTATTTCAGTAGAACATTAGTATGTATCATTTACTGTGAGTGAATCTTTTGTTTGAAATGTTCTAGAAATGTTGCTGTGCTGGTTCTTGTCCGAAGATCGCTTAGCAACAATTTCTATCCCCCAAAAAAGAACCTGACAGCAAGGGGGCAGAGCACACAACAGATCTTTATGTGCTGCTTGGTTTATATATGTCCTTAAGTCTTCTTTCCAAGCATGTAAATATTGATGTTACTCCACTTACATCACTGTTTAAAAATGCTGCATGGAATGTCTGTGTAGACCTATGGATCTAGGGAGGCCAGTTCAGGCACTGTATTTACAAGCATGCAAAATAGTCATGAGTTAGGCATCCAATATTTTACTTTTATATGTAATAAAACCAATTTGATTTAGAGGAAAAATATTTTTCTCCTCTTCCTCCCTTGCTGTTTTCAGCTCTATTCCTGTTACAGCTCATGCTGGTCATTCCATCACAGACAATTTATAACTGCAGCATGTGTGTGAGGCTCTGCCTGCAGGGACAGACTACCTTCGAACCACTTCATTAAGCTGTAGTTGTCCTAGTGATTAGTGCTCCTTTAATATTATATCAAATTGTATAAATCATTGCCTCTGTAAGTAGAACTCACAGAGCTGTCATTCAAGCTATGCTCCGTTTTGGCTGCCCAATATTGCAGGGCTGGACAAATTTGCTTGTAATCTAGGAGCCAGCTGAAAAAGTTATTTTTTTTTTTTTTTTTTTAAACTTAATTTCCAACAAGAAAAAAATTATTAAAGGGACACTACAATCACCCAAACCACTACAGCTTATATGAATATTATAGGGTCAGGAACACAAACATGTATTCCTGACCCTATAGTATTAAAACCACCATCTGGACCCTCTAAATATAGCAAAATCTTACCTTTATTCCAGTCTGCTGCTGCGTCTGGCTCTGCCCCTGATCTTCCTGTTTTGCTGACTCCATCAGAAGTGATTCCGATTACAATGCCTTCCCATAAGCTTGGCTGAGCTTGTCAAGGGGGCAGATCAAGGGCAGAGCCAGCACAAGCCAAACGCAGCCATGGGCCATCCGCATCTCCTCATAGAGATACATTGAAAGTTTAGTGTCTCCATGCAGAGGGTGGAGACACTGAATGTCAGTGCTGCACAGAATTTTTTTTTTTTTTTTACTGCAAAAAGCCTGAAGGGCATGATACAGGGCTAATACAATAAACTGTAGTTGCTATGATGACTATAGTGTCCCTTTAATGTAGTGGTTCTGGTGTCTATATCCTGTCCCTGTAGGCTTTTTAATGTAAATACTTCCTTTTTCAGAGAGAAATTGCGATCTAGTAGCACCACTAGTGACAGTAGTTTAGGTGGTCACTAGATGTGATTCCTAGACCAGTGCTGCATTGTGCAGCACATTCAGCTGCATGGAGACACTGAAATCTCCATAAAGAGATGCATTGATTCCTATGGGATATCTTCTTTTGACTGAGATCAACAAAATTGATTAAGCCATATAGGCACAGCTAGCCACAGAGAAACAGGCATGGCGTCGGAAAAAAGTGAGTAAACTCCTCTTTCCCATGCTGGTCACCTAAACAGACAGACACACACATTCACTGACATAAACACTCTCTGATACAGACACACTCGCACATTTTCTTACACATTTACAAATTATTGTTATATTTTTATTTCAATTTAAGTCCACCCAGCCTTCCCTATCCCTGAGAGAGCTGGGGTGGATCCCTTCCCTCGTGTCCAGTGGGGCTGTTGTATTCTTCATGCCCTTCTTGCTCTGCTCCCTTGACCACTCTTTAGTAACTTTTATATCCTGGCTCCCTACATAACAGCAGGGCACGTGAGTGAGCAGAGCAAGAAGAGCAGGAAATCTACAGCTGCCTGCATTTACCCTCAGTGGCCTGCCTGCTTTCGCCATATAAGCTTTCAGTGTGATTTTCACTGTTCTGTTTGTAATGTGAGGCAGTACGAAAGGTGCTTGTAGCTAATATGAAATATGTTTAGCTGTATAAGATATCTGCAGCATTTAACATGGCCTTAGTTGGCTGCCTCCATGCTCCCTTGCCATCCGCCTGCATTCACCCACAGCGGGCCACCTCCTCTTAACGGGCTGACAAATCCCAGGCGCCAGGACAAAATTCCTAGTAGTCATGGCGACCTGGTGTCTGATTTGTCAAGCCTTGCAATATTGCCTGTGTCAGTGTGCTCTGAAATAGAATTTTTTTAAATTTATATTTTCTCCAGTAACTAGTTTCCTTTCCACCTCCAGGATGACGATTCAGTACAGTGCGCCTCATATAGGCGCATTGGGTTCAAAGGCACTCACCGTGATCAAATAATCCATTCTTGTCCTATAGAATCATTGAATGCAATGAGTCTCTATGGCAAGCTGTGACGATGCCTGCCTATGAGAGCTGGGAAATACGTCCCAGCTTTCCTACTCAGAAGGCTTAGAGGCATGCCTTGAAGCTGCGCTTCCAAGTATTCCAATTAGTAAAATAAATTATTTTTTGGGGCACATTTAAGGGAGAACTACTAGTGGCACTATAACAATTTCAGTAACATGAATTTGTTTGTGAGTACAGTGTTTCTTAAGCTGGACTATTTGTAAACTGATGGGATTTTTGATATAGTTGCTTTAGCTTTACAAAGCTGATCCCTGCATCTTAATTGAGGAGTGGAACTGCTTTTGGTGGCTAAACTACTTACCTTATGAACCTCTTCTGGTGAGTGTATGGGTTAAGAAAAGACGCAAGATGATAGAACGAGATACTATTGATTAAAGTTTGTCTACCTAATGAAAGAGTGCTCGCTGTGTAGCTTCCGGCATAGTCACAAAATAGTCCCTTAAAAGGTACTTCAAAGGTAAGTTTTTGTGTATTTATATGCGTCATCTATGTCTGTGTTCTTAAAGGAAAACTATAGTGCCAGGAAAACCGTTGTTTTTCTGGCACTATAGCTCCCTACAGTGCCACCCTCCCTCTTTGTGATGCAGAAGGGGTTAAATACTCCTTCTGTTACTTACCTCAGCTAGCGCCGAAGTTGTTGGCTCAACTACAACTCCCTGAAATATGCTGTTCCCTCCGGTGCCATGTACAGCTAATTGGCAAAAAGGGCCAATAGTATAGACAATGATTTAGGACAAAACATGTGAAATGCATAAAAGTAGTGTTGCTGCCTAGAGAGCTTGTGCCTTTTGAACTTATTGAGCATTCTTCTATTGTTGACTCTCATGTGTTTTTTTTTTTCTTCCCAGTGTCCAGTGGCCACTGTTTAAGGAGTACTTTATGTTTAAGCTCGAAAAGGTGATGGATGATTTCAGATCTTCTGCTCCTGAACAGAGGGGACCTCCGAATCCCAACGTGGAGTATATTCCGTTTGATGAAATGAAAGACCGAATACTAAAGATTGTCACTGGTTTTAATGGGTAAGATTCCAATACTAGATCTTTGGATCCTTCTTTTCCTTGGATGTTATCTTTTATTTTGACATTTTAATTCTTAATCAGGCAGAGACCCTCATCCATGTTCACACAAAGGAATTTAGGTAAAGTGACTGTCCCAGGGAGTCCCAGGTATCAATTGATACTTGATAGTCTCCTCTGTCAGTTGTGGCCACAATTAGTGGTACCAGACTGACAGATGAGCAGTGTGAATCACCCACTGCTGGAGAGTTGTATATAATGAAAACAATTATAAATAGGATGGCGCAAAGGGGGAAGAAATAAATCTACCAAATGCAGCAACCAACAGAAACAAACCCTGGTAAAACGTTTTGGAAACAATACAGTTTACAGTGGTGATGGTGCGCAATAGAAAAAACCTTTATCATTCACTGTGGACCTCTTATAGAGAAACAACCTGCCTCCGTGTTGTTAATTTAAGGTGCATTTACAGTGTATTGATATCAATACTTAGTGCAAGATAGTGGTTGTGATTAACAATCTGTCAATATACTTGCAAACAGTAATCACTTGGACATTTTGACATCTGTAAGGGAGACAAAAGCAAGAGAGGGCTCCTAGTGCAGCACAATAAGGCTTAAATTCATTTATATATATATCTATCTATATATCAGAATAACCCTCAAAGTATCACACTAACAAAAGTTGAGTGGCTATGGCACTCAGGGAGGATCAGCCCCTAGAGAGCTTAGGATCCGTGGGAAAAAAAACTTGCCATCCGGATGTCAGGTAAGTTTTTTCTTTATTAGAACAGTTTAAAAACAAAGAAAATTGTGTAAAATTCTTGGTCTGCTCACCAGCCCCTGGAAACCGAAAGGAAAGTCCCATACAAATATAGAATGTGGAAGTCCTTCGGATTTCTTATCTTGGCTGTCACTGCCGACCATCTGTAAATCACTTCGTGGTTGCGGATTCATGACGCGTTTCGCCCCTCCCCAGGAATTTATCAAACGGCTAATTAGTTTGACAAAGCCCTGGGGGAGGGACGAAACGCGTCGGCAATGACAGCCAAGATATTATTCAATAAAATCCTTGAAAAAGTTTTGTATGCGAGATTCAAAGATTTCTTCAAGTCCAATTCTTTGCTCGACGCGCTTGCCTGGTTTCTGTGATAATCACTCTGTGGAAACGGCTCTGACCAAAGTATCAAACTATCTACTCGCTGCAAAATCTTGTGGTCACTATTCTATTCTAAATCTCCTTGACCTTTCCGCTGCTTTTGACATTGTTGATCAGGAACAGCTTCTTCTCATCCTCCTTAATGTCAGTCTACGAGATGCTACTCTCTCCTGGTGCTCCCCCTAACTCTCCCAGGGCTCTCTTAGTGTTTTGCTCTGGCTCTTCTCCTCTCTTTGGTCCCCTACTTTTCTCGATCTATGCTGCCTCCCTTGGTAAAATCAGCTCCTTTGGCTTCCAATATCCTTTTATGCGGATGTCTCTGACTGCCTCTCTATTTCTAAATGGACGGCTGCCCACTTGCCTCAACTCAAATGTTGCTACTCCAGTTAGTCTCCCTCCATGTTAATGGTGCAACCATCAGCTCCACCATGCTGGTTTGTTCCCTAGGTGTTCTTTGACTCTGACCTCTCCTTCACCACTCATGTCTAGTCGATCAGCAAATTCTGCCGCATCCATCTTAAAAACATGCGCCCGCACGCCCATACTTAACGCCAGATGCGGCTATGGTGATGGTCCATTCCACTGTCCTCTCTAGCCTTGTTTAGTGCAATCTTCTTCTCAGTGGTCTTACGTGCTTCGTTATAGTCTATAATTAATGCAGCGACGAGGCTCATCTTCCTGTCCACCCACGCTTCCCCCCTCTCAGTCCCTGCATTGGCTTCCCATAAGATTTAGGGCTCGGTTTAAGATTCTGGTTCTTGCTTTTCAATCTCTACATAATGCTGCTCCCACCTATCTATCCTCCCTAATATACAAGTGTGTCCCGTCTCGGCCCCTACGCTTTACCGAACTCCTAAGACTATCCTCTCTGCGTACTTCCACCTCTGGTGCTCGCATACAAGACTTCTCTAGGGTTGCACCATTCCTGTGGTACTCCCTTCTCCGTTAGACGCTCACCCAGTCTCCACTCCCAAAAATAAAAAACCTAGTGAAAACAGCAGCCTACTTTTTTACCCTTCCCTTACCGTTTGTGTCACTGTACCACACTCCCTCTAGCATGTAAGCTCATTTAGCATGGCCCTCAACCCCTCTCTTCCTGTGCCTCCAACGCGTCTGGTTACAAATACATGTTTGTTGGTCCACCCATTGTAAAGTGCTGTGGAATTTGTTGGCGCTATATAAATATGTCTGTATTAATTTACCTGAAAGGATTACCACTGGTAATGTTGAACATAGGACACATTTTAAAAGGCCATTTTGGCACCATAATAAGTTCTTCAGAACAAAGTTATGGTACAAGGCAGTGCCGGACACTCTTACCTTTACGGGTTAAACCATTGAGTGGTTTTACTCTAGAGTCTCCAATTCCATGCCCAACAGTGCTGCCGCTTCAATCGGGCAGCTTCAGACTGAGCAGCGGGCTATTTCAGATGATCAGTAGCCCCCGTTCAGAAGACTGTATGTATACTATGCACATATTGAGTTTCTCACACATTTTATTTTGTTTCCTCTTCTGTGTGTCAGGGCAAATACACTTTCAAGAGGGACAAGAAAAGTGGGCTACTACACGTGTCCTTCTGTCAAGTGCTTTGTTTTACATTTACCACCTTTGACAGTGAGGCAGGAACCCTCCTTGCTCTTTGTTTGCTTATTAAGGGGATTTATAAAGCAAGCCTGCAGGGGCACGCAGTTAACCATTAAAGCACTTCCGCAAGCTTTAAATGTCTGTGTGTTCTCTTTACTTTTGGGGGGAAAAAATGTAATACCCTGGTGGCTGTTTTCCTGTGCTGTGAGGAGCATTCTAGGCTAGGCTTTTGTCCACAAATCTGTGAATTACTATTGCTGGAAAAAGTGGCATATAATTTTAAAGTTGCTTACTGAACGCATTAGTGATCTATTGGTATTGTGTATAATTGCATGGCGCAGTTTAACCTTTTGAGCATCTTTTTATGAACATTTGAAAGAACCATTAAGGCAATGCCACCTAGGAATGGAACTGGGTTCATTGCCGGTATATGCAGTTTCCTTGGGTATAATTATTTTCTTTCTTTTAAACATTTTCCAGTACTCCATTTACTATTCAACGACTTTGTGAGTTGGTTACAGATCCACGAAGGAATTACACAGGCACGGACAAGTTTCTAAGAGGAGTTGAGAAGGTAATTTTGCCCTCCTTTATGTAACTGTTTAGATAATTTAGATGCATGCGTGTTCTGTATCTTAGTTGCATATTCTTACAGTTTTTGCATGCTTTTCTCTACTTTTAAATGTGATCTCTACAAATGTTTAGGCAAGAATGCAAATGTTTAGAAAAGTGAGCAAATTTCATGTTGTAACTACTGCCCTTACATATTTGTGAATTTTCTCAATCAATTTATTACAGTAAATAAAGTAGTTTATTAATAAATGAATTGACTGGGTATATATGATTTTATAAGATTCCCGTCTTTACATAATGTAAAAAGAAGAAAAGTGTTTTTCCTCCAATGTGTATTCTGATCAGTGAGTTTGAGTTTACATGCATTGTTTTTTTTTGTCTTTTTTGTTTAGAATGTCATGGTGGTCAGCTGTGTGTACCCTACTTCCGAGTAAGTAAACAATGTCACTGTAACAGTTGGTGAGATCATAGGGCCAAGTATCATTTCAGGGTTTGCAACATTTTGATAACTAGTATCATCCTTTATCTTTTACCATAATCTCTCATATAGAGGATCACTCTAACATTCTAAATATTACATTTAGATTAGATATAGATTGGGGCCTATGGTGCATGCATGGCAGTTGCCATATACCACCACCAGGTCCTACAGTCACAGTATCATAGGACTTGACAGTTAAACCCTGCTCTAGTTGCTGTTTGTTGAAATAGGGCAAAAAATCTAGTTTTAAAGAGTTTTCTAATTGCGTCACAAAAATGGGGGAATCTTGATTGCAAAGTGGTAATCGGATTTTTCCTTTGATCAACAAGCTGTTGCCATGCATGTTGTTTATTATGTAATTGAAAATGCAATTTTACAGAAAAAGTATCCAGACCTTTATAAAAGTCACCAAACTATCTGTCTTCAAGTAAGATGTTTTTTGTTTTTTTAAATCAATCTCCTCAGTCCTGTCGGTGAACAGATTTCAAGAATGTTGTTTGCATTGGCCCTTTGTGTTTGTAAAGTGATACTCTCTGAAAAGTTTTTTTTCTGCTATAGTAGAAATTTTTTTTTAACTTTTCAGTCTTTATAACTAAAGACTTTAATTCTTTTTATAACTTTAATGTCCTGACCCCTTGTCCAAGTTCTGTAGTATCCTTCTTTAAAACTGGTGGGCAAACTTTTGAGTCTTCCCAATGATGTATAAAAATATAATAGTCTCATGAATTAAATTCCCCTTTATGCTTAATAGTAGCTTGCTGTCTTTTGCAAAATACTGCATATTGTTGCCTATTATGCTGCCTATAAACATCCCAAGTCCTTCATATACACCATTCTCCCTTTATCAGCCCTATTTAGGGAATGGAGCACTTGTGGGCTCCATGCCCAAATGCATAATAGAAACATAGAATGTGACGGCAGATCAGAACCATTTGGCCCATCTAGTCGGCCCAATTTTCTAAATACTTATTAGTCCCTGGCCTTATCTTAAGTCTAGGATAGCCTTATGCCTATCCCACGCATGCTTAACCCCTTAAGGACACATGACATGTGTGAAATGTCATGATTCCCTTTTATTCCCGAAGTTTGGTCCTTAAGGGGTTAAACTCCTTTGCTGTGTTAACCTCTACCACTTCAGCTGGAAGGCTATTCCATGCATCCACTACCCAATCTTTTATTTGCACAGATTTTCATCTGCCTCTTGCTTGCCCAGTTCCCTAACTTATCCAAATCCATCAGTATAAAAATCTAATGCTCAGCCTGCTTTGCCATGTCTAGTTTTGTCATCTCTATACACAAACTTGACTTTTTTAGTTCCTGTTTAAAGTTGATTAACAAGATTAGAATTTAGTGGACCGCACAGAGTTCCACCGTTCTCAACCACTTTTGTCCACCTTGAACATTTTCTTTTAACTACTTTCTGCACTCAAAGTGATCAATCCAAGAAAACGCAGTTTCATCTAAACCAGTTATGTTCAATTGTAGTAGTAATTATAATATTATAATAATTTTTTTTTGTGAAACCACATCTCATTCTTTAGCAAAATCCATATGGATCACACATAGAGTGCTCACTTTAATGTCATATTTTTTTTATTCAATTTTCTGCTAGGAAAAACAATTCAACTAGTCTGAATCGAATGAACGGTGTGATGTTTCCAAGTAACTCCCAAAATTACACCGACAGGTAGGTAACTTGTTATATATATATTATTTTTTGGGGCAAGGGTGTCAAATCTATGACCCTTCTGTTAGAATGGCAAAAAGTGACTACTTATGATCACTTCCAAGTCACTTGAAAGCATGGCTGCTTGAATTTAAAAATGTTTGTTTTGTTTTTTAATTATTTATTTTGAGTCTAGTGTCCGATAATGCATAACTGCCTAAATATAGCTTTTCTCCCTCAAGTGGATTTTGAGCGCCAGGCACACTATGGGAACTAATATTAGCAGAAGGTTTAACAATTAAAATGAGTAGTATGAAAAGCGAAAAAAGATAACATTTACAGCAGTGTGTTTACATTGCAGAGTGTTTTAGTTTCCTTTCCCTTGTTGGTGTCGAACCATTTTTGAGCATTTTGACAAATTGAGTTTTCCAGGCCCATTTATTGCAACTTGTATATGCGTTAGTCTTATTTTATGTTACACAGCCAACCTTGGACAGCAATGATTAGCTGCAAGCACTGGGACAATTTACTGATTAAGCTATTAGTTTGGAAGAAAACACATGGGGTTGTGAATAGTGTAAGAAAAGAGAAGGGATTTTATAAAAATCAATAAAACGTTGTGCAAGAAAATTGCCAACGTAAAAAATGTAAGCGACCTAAAGATAAAAGGACTAACACTTTTTAAACTATAGATTGCATAATCGTAAGATATTAAATCCACACTACGGAAAAAGTTCTAGAAATACCCCAACGAAACATAAAGACTCTGGATCGTATACATCTATGGGAATCTATTAATATAAACACTATGTTAAGTCCTCAACCAGAATTGCCCTTTGCAAAGAACAATCAAATCATTTCTTCAAAGACCAGTGATGAGATATTTATCTGGCAAGCACCATAGATCGTTACAATTACAGGGAAGTCTAAATCTCATGTTTCATAGCATAACTTGGGAGGCATATGGCTTGTTGTAGACACAATAAAAACAAGGGTTTATGGCAAACAGTGAATTGCCCTTATGTACTGTTTCTAGAAAAAGCATTTTTTTATGAAAAAAAAATTACATGCTGTTATGGCAAGGGAATAGTTTTGGAAGCTTAAAGGACCACTCTAGGCACCCAGACCACTTCAGCTTAATGAAGTGGTCTGGGTGCCTGGTCCAGCTAGGGTTAACCCATTTTTTCATAATTATAGCAGTTTCAGAGAAACTGCTATAATTATGAATGGGTTAAGCCTTCCCCCTAATCCTCTAGTGGCCGTCTCATTGACAGCCACTAGAGGCGCTTGCGTGCTTCTCACTGTGATTTTCACAGTGAGAGCACGCAAGCGTCCATAGGAAAGCATTGTAAATGCTTTCCAATGCGACGGGCTGAATGCGCGCGCAGCTCTTGCCGCGCGTGCGCATTCAGCCCAGGAGGAGGAATGGAGGAGGAGAGAAGGAGGAGAGCTCTCCGCCCAGCGCTGGAAAAAGGTAAGTTTTTACCCCTTTCCCCTTCCAGAGCCGGGCGGGAGGGGGTCCCTGAGGGTGGGGGCACCCTCAGGGCACTATAGTGCCAGGAAAACAAGTATGTTTTCCTGGCACTATAGTGGTCCTTTAATGAAGTGCTGTAGGGGTTAATAGAATGTCCTCTCTTTCGTACTTTATAAAAGTGGCAATTTTTTTAGAGTAATGTGGCACTCTTACAAAGGTCATGGAGGCACTTACTCAAAGTGGACTAGAGGTCTCTCATAGAAAAGCATTGGATTCACTGCTTCTCTGTGACCAAGATTAACATAGAAACATAGAATGTGACGGCAGATAAGAACCATTCGGCCCATCTAGTCAAATTTTTAAAATACTTTCATTAGTCCCTTCATTAGATTGCTGTACATGTACCCTGCTTCAAAATGTTTTTCGATGGCAAGCATTTAATTGTCACTAGTGATGATCTCCCAGAGGTGGAGCAGAGTTGCAGCTAGGTACCCTATCAATACTGTGTTATAGGTAAGCAACCTATTTATTTTAGGGGGCAATGGCTCATAATACAAGTAGTCAATGAAAAACTCCAGCATTATGAATAAAAACATTTATTTACTATTCAAGAATAAGGCAGTGGTTCTGAACATCTGTGGCTAAGGCACTCTTCAATTAGAGAAATTCCAAGGAACTCCTAGTATTTGTTGCTTTTAAAAAAATTTTTTAAAAAAATTGTTCATTTAATTTTACTGGGGACTGAAAGATGCAACGTGTACAGAGCATGCATATGATTGTATTGACTTTATTTTTTTAGATTTAATAGTCGATCGCAATTATAATTTTAAAACTTAAAAATGCTTGAGGAATATATTCAATCTAATTGAGACCTAAAGTCAGGCTTATACATACTAAAGGGTTACGCCTAGCATCAAATTCTCTACAGTTTAACAGTTTGCCTTCTTATCTGGATCCCTACTATTTTGAAAGGCTACTCTCCTTGGTGATGTGCTACTGCGAAAGTTGCAATTTATTGTCCGAGAGTGTCAGCTGACAGGTCTCAACCAATTAGTGGCATACTGTGCAAAAAGAGGTGCCCAGAATTGACATCAGTGTGCATGGGATTGTAGTTCTCAGCTGGCTAATGACATCCCTGTGATGTTGCAGGCAGCCAGGTGGTTAAACTCTGTGTTTGCAGTGTTTTACAATGAAACACCGTAGAGACTTCAGGCACCATAACTACTTCATTAACCATGTAATACTTCCTGAAGCTGACCTTGTCACTTATGCAAATGAATATGATTTATAAAGCACCAAGATATTCTGCAGCACTGTACAATTGTGGATATTAGACCATATAAAGCCACTAATATAAAAGGATTAGAGTACCTTGCCCATGAAATGTAACATTTGCAGACCTTTTATTCAAAGATGCTAAGCTAGATCGCTTATGAAATTACAGTCTAAATGTTATGAAGGGGACTTAAGACAAGAGGCTAGCAGGGGCAAATTTAAGTTAATGGCAAGGAAGTCTTTGAGAGCATATGCAGAAATTGCTAAGATGTGACATGATTGAGGAGGTGATTGGTGAAGATGCTAATCAGAATACAATTGAAGATCTGTCAGCCAGCTGTAGGTACACATGTAACCCATATCTCATAGGTCAGTGTGGCTATTTTTGTAGTGTGCTCTTAAAAGACATGCTCCTCTTATGAAGGTATTTTGAGTAAATGAAAACTTGTTTGTTTAAGGTCAAATGTTAACGGTCCAGGCACACCCAGGCCAGTGAGTCGACCAAAGCTTTCTCTGTCAACCCCTATGACAACCAATGGTTTGCCTGACAGCTCGGAGAACAAGGAGTCAGACTTGCAGCAAAAAGAGAAGGATCACAGGTATACATGCCTTCACTATAAATGCAACTGTTAATTTAGGGTGCAAAGGCCAATTCGGTTCCTTCAGAAATGCTTTCCATTTTCAAAAGAATTGCAACTTCTCACTCTTAAAGGATCACTATATGGTCAGGAACACAAACATGTATTCCTGACCCTATAGTGTTAAAACCACCATCTAGCCCCCCTGGGCCCCTCATGCCTCCCTAAATGTAGTAAAAATCTTACTGTATTCAAGCCAGAAGCTGTAACTCTGCATGCTGTTAGACTCAGAAAAACAGACAGTCTGCTGGCATCATCAGAAGTGGTAGCCTGATCCAATCACAGTGCTTCCCAATAAGATTGGCTGAGACTGACAAAGAGTCAGATCAGGGGCAGAGCCAGCATGATTCAAACACAGCCCTGGCCAATCAGCATCTCATCATAGAGATGAATTGAATCAATGAATCTCTATGAGGAAAGTTCAGTGTCTGCATGCAGAGGGAGGAGACACTGAATGTTTGGATGCATTTTAGGCAGCCATGACCCAGGAAGGATCTCTAAGAGCTACCTGAGGAGTGGCCAGTGAAGTTATCACTAAGCTGTAATGTAAACACTGCATTTTCTCTGAAAAGACAGTGTTTACAGCAAAGAGCCTGAAGGTCATTCTACTCACCAGAACAAATTCAATAAGCTGTAGTTGTTCTGGTGACTGTAGTGTCCCTTTAATATTACTTTTGCCAAATTCAAAGCACTGCTTGACGTTTTTGCAGATAAGTTCAGCCTTTTTCACGTTTGTTTTTGCTGTTGGTCCAAAAGAAGGGAAAAGGCCCAGACTCAAGCTCTTTTTTATTTTATTTTTTATAAATATATGCATCCTTTTCTTGAGGTCATAGTAAACTGTAAACGAGTTGTGTTGGTGCCCTGATTATCCCTTTTATTGTATATACATATTGTAACAGGCAAATGGTTAACACATTAAATCGCAAGACTTATTTTGTCATTCTCCCTAAACAGCAAGATAGCTGCAGTCTAGCCACTGTAGGATACTGCACTGAGGGATGCAGTGGTTAAGTTCATCATTTTGCAACATGACCCATTTCTTTGTTGCAGGTTTTTTGTTTGTTTTTCTCGTGTAGGCACATTTTCCTCTAATCAAGGCCTGTCTAGTCATGGGACTATTTGTGACATCAATCAGTTGTACAATTCTGTTTTGTTTTACTTTTTAGTGAATGTTTGCTGCCCGAAGAAGATTCACCCACATGTACTGTAAAGAATAAGCATTCGGAGGAAGAAGACCCATGTGAACTAGAGGAGCACGAAGTTAAAAGACTAAAATTTGACCCTGAAGATGAGGATGAAGATGAGGAACAAATTCCATGTAGTCAGAGGAACCTACCTAGTGACATTTCTGCAGACATGACAGAAGAAGCAGAGTCTGTCTCTGCAACTGTAGATAAACCAAAAGAAAGTTGTGACTCTGTGCATACTGCAGAAGGTATTGGTCAAACCACCTCAAACAGGAATTCAGTAAACACTGTAGACCCTGGTCTTAGTGTTTCTTCAGTCATTTACTGGTGTTTGCACATGGCACTTTACATGAAACTTCTCCAACTGTCAATGATTTGCTGATGCATTGGTTCTGTTCTATTGGGCAATATCCATAAAATCTTGGCTCACCTGTGGTACGGTGCATGGGATCAATAGATTTTTATTTGCTTATTTTTCCCCAATCTATTGGATTTCTTTGGTTTTCTATCCATTTACGGTCATTTTATTTATCTAAAACACGGTGCTACTTAAAACTAGTAAAAGGCAAATGTACCCTTCCTAGTTCATAAATTCGCTTCTATAAACCAGAACTGATGGAAATGCTATAAGTCTCTCGACAAGTATGCAAAATATACATTCACAGTTCATGCTTATTTATGAAGCACATACAAATTATAGTCCGTCCGTCCCTTTAGAGATTGGCTTAATAAATAATATTTACTCCCCAGGATTTTTAATATTATGCTTACTTATTCCCTGTATTTAACAAATATAAATCAGTGAGGCATTAACAAAAAACAAAAAAAACCTGTGTCCGTCATATCATATTTTCCTACACTTTGCAGTCTAAACAACGGGTGGCTCTTAGTCACTCATTTGGTAATATTCAAAATACATTTTTTTAAATCACTGTTTAGTAGATATTCCCCCATGAAAACATGCATGCATTTAATTACACATTTTTTCATTCCTGACCTCTAAAAAGAACTTGCAAAAGCAGCACATCTTTTCGGTTGCCTTTCCAAGCCCTCCCCTTCTAACCCTGCCCAGACTTCTGCTATAGGAATCTTCATTGAAACATCCCCCATCTGTAAATAAATGACTACTAAATTCTATTGTAACTGACATAGTTAAGGTCTGTTTCTTGTTTAATTAATTTTTTTTTTATCTTTACAGAATTGTTGATGACTGCTAGTGAGTCTTCTGAAGAAGATGAAAAAGACACTACTGAACCCTTAACTGTGAGCAAAGAAGAATCAGATGAGAGCCATCATATGGAGGAAACTGAGAACACTGAAGAGAAGGATTTGCAGACACAAGATCAGGAAAAAACATCAACCAATGCTGCTGGTGCTGAAAGCGCTGACCCAGAACCCAGTGGAACCCTTGAAGCATCACCAGAAACCTCACTTGATTCTATGGAAAACAGCGAGGAGGCCACCGAAGTTGCCGACGAACCTATGGAACAAGACTAACTTTTTGCGCCTAGAGACTCAGTATTTTCCAAACAGTTCTGTTTTTACACTGTATACAAGTTTTATGTATAAAAACAAAAAAAAAAAGTGGACCTTTAGTTTTACAAAAGGCAGGCTTATAAACCACAAACTTTTTTCTGGAATAGAAACTGAATGAGCTTTATTTACCCCATTTCAGAACTGTGAATCTCTATTCCTTCAGGTTCTGCTTTACCGCTGAATTATTGGTTTTGGTCAAATCAGTGGTTTGTGTATAGACTTATTTTTATTATTTAGAAAGAGTTTTTAAACTGGAAGGTTATAATTTCCAAAACCCTTTTGGAGGGTTCCACATTTTTTGGGTTAAAATTTAAAATATCTATATATTAAAAAAACAAACAAAAAAAAACGAGTGGATGTCTGGTCCCTTTTTTTCCTCTTATTGTAATTCATTTAATAGTTTGTTTATGGCTTCAATGTTTAAGCTCAATTTTCTTCCTAAACTCTGACAACGAACTGTTTTGAAATTTTGGGAAACAACTCTTCCCCTTCCTTTATTTCCATCAATTTATACAATAGGGTAAGCCTAGAAAACAATTGCTCTGTAGAAACATATTGCCTTGTTCTTCCTTCATGAATCAGCTACAATAAAGCTTTTTTAAAAATATGTATTTCTAAACTGCAAAAACAAAAAAACATGAACACATTCCAAGTGATAGACATTTTTTTTTTTTGGTGTGTATATGATTTTCTTTTGAGGTGCCTGAAAAATATCAATTTTCACTTTATTCAAGAGGGAATCCAATTCAAACTGCATTTCTCATATTCTTGCGGGCCTGTTGGCAAACACTTGCAAGCTACGTTACTTTCACTCATTCGCAAAGTATTGTGAGAACAAGACCTTTTTTCTCTTTTGTTTTAAATGTAAAGTATGCAATTGGTGATGCTCAACTGTATCGAGCATTTTCATTTACTTATGACCTTGGCCTGAATGACTTTAGTTATTGAGGTGCAATTATATCATCATTTATTTGTACAAAATTCTTTTTTTTTTAGGTGAACTGCATATTTTTGGAAACACAACTTTGACAGCCAATGACAGAACATCTGACCAGCTCAAAGCACAACTAATGGCTCTTAAAAATTTTATGACACCTAATTTAAAGTTGATCTATCTAACCTTTGTCACGATTACCGACTACAAAATTTATACTTGTTTCTTCAACTATAGCTTTTTTGATATTTTGAATTTTTAAATTTCTGTAAAGTAGATTTTGTAGAATGTAACAAGTGTTCACTGCCTTTGTGAAACGTTATATAATTGTATAATTTCTGTGTGTAAACTGAATGCTTGAGCTTTCAATACAGTATTCATATGAAGCAATAAATATTAATGTTATGATGTCATGGAGTACATTTTTATCGAATATATGCACCTAAAAATAAAAAGCTAAACATGAGTACATGATGGGTCTGTACACTGTTTTATATTTAAAAATGATTGAGATGAATTGTGGATAAAAGTTGGATTTTTTTTTTTTTTTTTAAATGTTAAATGCTGTTGTGAAGTCCGTTGATGCAAGAAATAAAACTGCCAGGTTTATGGTTTGTGAAGTTTTTTGATCTGGAGTCCCTGTTTATAAATACCTGTGTTATATATACACGTATGTTAACAGGTTCAATATTTCTCCATCTTATGAGATTTACTGCTTTGAAAGCTCTTTAACCCTTCCAGTTAGGATGGCAAACACATGAGTTTATAACTGAACTAGCTAAGAATTGCTTGGGAATTTCCTTGCCAGTTATACACATTTCTATGTAGGCATATATGCCTAATGTTTTCATGATAACTAGTACAATGTTCTTATAGTGTCTGTCCCTTTCAGGGTTCTTTGCATGTTTTGCAAAGACCGTATCTACTTGGTGTGTGCCAGCTCAAGGGAGAAGCTGAAATAAAATTCTCCTATCTCTGCTTCACATATGCTGCCAATCTTTCATTTTTGTGTTGTCCATCTTCAGCTCCTAGCACTTATTCTGCCAGGAGCAACCTTTATTATGGTATAGAAGTGAGGAACACTATAAGTAGTGGGTCTCAAGTCCTCTCCGATGACCTTACACAGTCTAGAATTTAGAGATTACTCAATACTGTTTCAGGAGGAAAATCCATAATATCTGCCAGTTCAAATGTCCTTAACTATGGAGTTTTATTTAGTTCTCCTCAAATTGGCAAACTACTGAAAAGTTAGTGGGGTAACACTACAATATTTCAATTCACTTGTTTGAGCTGATGCAGACAAAATAGTAAGTAATAAAATTGTGGTGTATTGGAGCCTCCTGTAATACTGATTATAATTCTGGCATTTTGCTTTGTGTTCATTTCAATGTTATTTAACACTTTTACGGCACCTTATTTATAATTTTTAATTTTTTTTTTTTTAATTTTTAGATACTTCTTCCTTCCGATATCTCATGTGTATGCATAAAACATTAATTCTAAAAAAAAAAAAAAAAAATCTCAGTTTCGCTTATAACTTGTCCAAAACCAATGCAACTAAAGAAAAATAGTTTTCAAAAAATCAATTCACTTATTAGTCCCAGTTGTGTAATTACCTCCTATGTTTAGAATTTTAATTACATTTTGCATTATAAACTTGACATAGTAAGAGTATTGTGGTTTTTAAAACAAAAATTTGTCTAATTGAAATCATAACTTTAATAACCGCTACACAAAAGTATATATTTGTAAAAAGTAGACCAATCAGACTATTTAATAAAATGTAGCTTGACACTTTTTTGGTTTTACTATTTAATTACAAGAACAGCTGCATATATATTTGTTTTTCACACCTGTGATTTACTTTCGGGTTTCAGACCATGTGAATCCTGCTAGTGTAAAGACATCTGATTTGTATATTGCTAAATACAATACCCCCATGTAGACCTGTGACAGCTTTTTGTTAAATTATTTGGTCAAATTACAGACATGTCTATTTCAGTATTTAATTTTCACCAATTGCAAGGACCAGGTCACTCTTGGGATATGACAGCTCACAGCTGCACTTTACCCTTCCATCACGGCATACCATTTTGCAAAATAAAGCAAATTAGACGATTTAACATGGGGCATATGACGTATCACCAATTAATGCCCAATTTTGTGTTAAATGTATTTTTTGGCATTGATTTTTATTTCACATACATATTGAAATTTTATTGTGAATATCAGAATTTGTATTATGCTTTATCTCCCAAGTACAGCAATACCCTAGATCAGGGGTGCCCAAAAGGTAGATCCCCAGATATTTTAAGCATTCTAAAGGCATACAAAGGATCATGGGAGTTGTAGTCATAAAACATCTGGTGATCTACCTTTTCGGCACTCCTTTCCTAGATGTATATCTTTTTTGGGTTTGGGTGGAATTTATAAGGTCAAATTATAGATGTGGCTGAACTTTTATATTCTTATTTGCTTCCCAGAGACATTATTTCATGAAGTGCTACTGTGTCTCCAAAAGGCCAGAGTCAAACTTTGACCGCCATTTAAGCCTTACTATCTGGTTTCAAAAAGCTTTATTAACACAGAGTAAACTGTTCCAGTAAGCAAGAAAAGATTCAATGTATGAGTGAGACTCGCAAGCCTTGATGCAATCAATAAGGCATTGAGATACATGAGATTTGAATTGTAGTCTTGTGGAGGACAGATCAAATCCCCCCCGGGGGCCATCCACGTGTGTTTCCTGCTCAGAAAGCACCTTGTGTTTGTTACGTTAAGCCTTCCTATCGGAACTCTTAACACACTCCATATGCCATGATCTACAACTCCTTTGCTTTGACAGTATTATAGCTGTAAGAATATTATGGGAGGTACATTCCACATCTGGAGTACTCAATGTTTAGCAGGTAGGTCCTAGCTAATGCTAATTCAAACTTATACTAACCCCATTTATGCAATGTTTAGTATATTGGCCCCCATTCATTGTCCTGGGAGCCAATCACATTAATTACATGTCTTTCATATACTTTTATGTGTTTAATTTTTAATTAAACAAAGTAGATAAAATAGCTAGACCACCCTCTTCACGAACTGGGTATCCTCTCAACTAGACATCATGGCACCTTGTACATTAAAACGCCGCAGGCCCCCCCCAACAACAACCCTGGCACACCAAGCTCACTCAATACCTCCAAAAATGCTCCAGAACTGCTGAATGCTGTTGGAGAAAGTCTCACTGTGCATCTGACTTTCTCCACTATAAATTTATGCTGAGCTCATACAGCTTGGCTCTTTCCTCTGCAAAAGTTAATTACTTCAATACCCTCATAACCACACTCTCCCGCGAACCCAAACGACTATTTCACACATTTAACTCTCTTCTTCGCCCTGCTGTTCCTCCTCCACCTACTAACTTGACCGCCACAGACTTTGCAACTCACTTCACTGACAAGATCTTTACAATCAGAGAAGAGATCTCTCATCTTTCTTCTTCCCCTTATAATACTTCCCCTAACTTCACTCCCTCTGCTGTTCTATGTTCATTCGCACCCGCTACATTGGAAGAAGTTTCTGCTCTGCTCCAGTCCTCCCGCCCCACCACCTGTTCCCTAGATCCAATTCCATCACATCTCATCCGTACTTTGTCTTCTTTCTCCACCTCTCACTAAAATTCTCAATCTCTCTCTCCTCTGGTATATTTCCATTGTCCTTCAAACATGCAACTGTAACCCCAATTTTATGGCAAGACAGGAGGCTTCATATTTGCTTATCTTTCTTTACTGAAACTCCCAGCAGCAAAGAAATAGTTAACAAGGTTGTAAAAAAATTCAACCAATCATAACACAACATAGAGCAATATAGTGCCACCAAACTCCTCCCACTTCCTCTTTCTTTGCTGCTTGCCTCCCAGGTGAGTCTATTCCAATTACGTTGCCTAGCTTCAGTACTTAAATTTAAAATTCTCTAAGATTATTTGATGAATTTTATCTGTTTTTTTTTTCCTATCCTGAGATAGCTCAATAATAGTTTTAGTTTGCCTCAGGTTAATTTTCCTTTTAACACCTTTTGTTTACTTTAATATGTCTTTTACAAGTGTCTTTTATTCTCCTTTTCAAGTGGAATATGTCCTCTTTTATTATATTCCTTTTTAAGTAGCTTACACCTTTAATTACAACAGTGTAAGCAGTTTCGGCCGCACACAGAAACTGCCTGCCAGGTTTTTCCTTCCCTCCTCCCCTCCCGTCAGGAAACTACCTAGTGAGGGACTCCATTTCCCAGGAGACCGTTGGTCTCCTGCTACAGCCTTCGCGCCCTTTCTCCTCACTGGTTTCCCGCCTATACGGCGGCTCCGCCCCTTCTTCTTGCGGCGGCCATCTTTAAATCGCGGCACTCGCGTATTTTCGATCCGCGGTTTTCCCTCATCTGTGGGCATTATTGTTACTTACCCGGAAGGTAAGTTAATTGGTTATACAATTTATTATCCATATGACAAGTTTTGCCTTTTTAAGATCAGCACACTGATCTTTCTCTCTCCTTATCATTGCAGGTTTATTTTGCTCAGCAAGTCCTGCCTGCTAAACTATTGGGTGACCCCCTTTATGTTAAAGTGATAATTCACTGTACAACTTTCTTTATTAAAATTGTGTGGTTGACACCACCTTCTGTTTCATTTGTGGGTGACCCCCACCACAACTACTGCCAACAATATTTTGCGTGGCTGACACCACTCTGCTTATTCTGTGGGTGATCCCCACTCTCTTTTACTACTTAATTCCACCATAACTACTGCCTATATTAAAAAAAAAAATTTGGGGGCAGATACCACTTTGTTATTTGTGGGTGACCCCCACTTTAGTTTGACAGGGTCCTCTATAGTGGGCAACCCTACCTCGTTGGGCTTACTTGTCTGAATATATATATATAGTTGAGTTGCCTCATTTTTTGCTGCCTTATAATTTTACTACACTTACCTGTAGTTACTAATCTGCCCTTTGTCAATCCCATAAATTTAACATTAAAAAATGTCGGAACACCAAGACCCTGCTATTTCTGCAGAACTTCGGGATTGGCTATTCCCAAAGCTCTGGCAGCTTATCATGAGCAATCTACTACAGAGGTTCATCCCTCTACACGCCAACCCTCTGACTCAGAGGATTCTCACCTTTCAGACCAAGAAAGTGCCCCGTGCAAAAGACCCTGGAAAGGGAATAGCGCTACTGCAGGCAAAGGCAAAGCTCCTGCGAAAATCCACAAACGTTCTCAAACATTTACTATGCAGAACCCGTCAGACCCTCTAGAGGGCTCTACTTCCAGACTAGCTGGTCATATTTTAAACGACTATGACACCACCTACTGTGATGAGGATCCTACAGTGAATATGCCCCAGGATTCCTCAACATCAGAGTTTATTAAAGGACCACTATAGTGCCAGGAAAACATACTCGTTTTCCTGTCACTATAGTGCCCTGAGGGTGCCCCCACCCTCAGGGTCCCACTCCCGCCCGGCTCTGGAAGGGGGAAAGGGGTAAAAACTTACCTTTTTTCCAGCGCTGGGCGGGGAGCTCTCCTCCTCCGATCCTCCTCCGATCCGCCCCGTCGGCTGAATGCGCACGCGCGGCAAGAGCTGCGGGCGCATTCAGCTGGTCACATAGGAAAGCATTTTCACAGCGAGAAGCACGCAAGCGCCTCTGGTGGCTGTCAATGAGACAGCCACTAGAGGCTTTGGGGGAAGGCTTAACCCATTAATAAACATAGCAGTTTCTCTGAAAATGCTATGTTTATAAAAGAATGGGTTAACCCTAGCTGGACCTGCCTAGAGTGGTCCTTTAAGGAAACCTTTCATGTTCAAGATGCTAAAGGTGCCCCTCCAACAAAAGAGCCTGCTTCAGACACCCTCCTGGATGCTTCAGGCCTCCCCCTTTTTGATCCAAGGGTGATTCGTCACCCACAGTCTGCAGAATGGACCCCTCCTGATCACATTGCCAGTTACTGCAAAATGTGGCTTCGCAAGCCCCTCGAAAAAGAACTCAGAAATAAATTGAGGGCTGAATGCCCAAGACCTACTATTCCTGGCAAAGTTGCCTCTACCCCTGAGTTCAACCCCATGCTGGTCACTTTTTTGACTAAATCTGGCAAAGACCCTCGTAAGGGTATAGAGCAAGGGTTAAAAGCAGCCCAAGACAAGCTTTTGGACATTTCAGGTCCTATAATCCAGATTTTTATCCTGGCAGATGAGGCACTCACTAGTGGTGAATTCTATCCACACACTATCAGGGAATGGGCTCAGAGAGCTCTTTGCTTATTAGGCAATGCAAACGTGGCAATTTCAATAGAAAGACGAAAAGCGGCACTTTATAAAATTGACGCTAAATTAGTAGACTTAAGCTCTAAGGAATTGGGACCAGAAGCAGATGGTCTTCTATTTGGTGACAGCTTTATGCGAGACCTCTCTAAGCATGTCTCTGTATTTACAACGCTTAATAAAGCCCAGTCCTCACTACGCAGGGTCTTCCGCTCCCAAACTCATCGTTTTTCCGGGAGAGCTGGTCGCTTCAGGGGCCGAGCTACCAGTAGAGCAGCCTTTGCAGGCTACAGGCCCCGACCCACAGACCATTGGTCCTCTGGACCCACAAGACCCTACCACAGACAGCTCTTCAGCTCCAGAGGCTCTATTCGAGGACGTGGCTCTGCATCCCTGCGCGGACGCACTGCTTCAGGTAATGGACCTTACTTATTTAAAAAATGTGTCAATTGCAGGTCGATTAACCCTTTTTTTCCAACAGTGGAAACTACTCTCTCAGGATCACTGGATCCTCCATACAGTCAGGGGTTTTAAAATAGATTTTCTCACACACCCCACTCAGAGCCACCCTCCAACACCCTTAGGGATGTCACAAACAGACAAACTAACCTTAGATTCAGAGTTGCACAAATTATTAGACGAAGGGGTGATCAAACCTTCGCCTTTCCCTTACACTTTCATCAGCAACATGTTCCTGGTACGGAAAAAGACGGGAGACCACCGTCCTATTATCAACCTCAAAGAACTGAATCAGTTCATCACATATCGCCATTTCAAGATGGAAGGTATCCATCTTCTCAGGGACCTACTCTGCGTGGGAGACTGGTTCTCTAGATTCGACCTCAAGGATGCTTACCTCACGGTCCCAATCACACCAAGTCATCGTGCGTTCCTTCAATTCCTCTGGCATGGTGAAATTTGGCAGTTCACCTGCCTTCCTTTCGGACTTTGTTCCGCCCCTTGGTGTTTCACCAAGTTAATGAAGCCAGTCATGGCACTACTACGCTGTCGGGGAATACGTTCCATCATATATCTGGACGATATTCTGATCATGGCCCAAGACCAACATTTGCTTTGCAAACATACGCACATGACCTCTGCTCTCCTTCAAAAACCTTGGCTTTGGCATAAATTTCCAGAAATCAGACCTGGAACCATCTCAGGTAGTCCAGTTTCTGGGCTTTCAAATAGACTCAGTCCAGGCAACTTTGCAGCTGCCTTACCCCAAAATAAAAAACATAAAGAAAGAAATCCAAAAGTTGCTTTCTTCGCAGCAGCCTTGGCTCTGCCACCTTGCACACATTCTGGGTCTCCTGTCCGCATCAATTCAAGCTATATTTCCCGGGCCTTTACACTACAGAGCTATGCAGCGGTTGAAAGCAACCTACTTGCATCGCTCAACCTCTTACGATCAATTCATTTCTCTGACGGACGAAGTTATCATCGAACTTCATTGGTGGCTTCGCAACATGGAAGCCTGGAATGGGAAAGCGATTTTCGGGTCTCAACCAGATTTTATTCTGGAATCCGATGCGAGCCTCTTGGGTTGGGGTGCTATGTGTGCCCAAACCTCCACAGGAGGTCTGTGGTCCCCATCGGAACAGGCTCTCCACATAAATTGTCTCGAGCTCATTGCTGGATCCTTCGCGATCCGCAGCTTTGCCAAGGACGCCTCCAATTGCTCCCTGGTACTACGGATGGACAATGTCTCCGCGGTGCGGTATGTCAACCGACTCGGAGGATCCAAATCCAAACTTCTGTCCGACCTCACCAAGGACCTGTACCAGTTCTGTCTGGACCAAAATCTGTCCATCCGAGCGGAGTATCTCCCTGGGTCCGACAACCTAGTCGCGGACTGGTTTTCGAGTCATTGGAGGGATGCCAGCGACTGGCAATTAGGCCCTCTCCTGTTCCATCACATCCACTTCCTATGGGGACCTCTCACACTCGACCTCTTTGCATCTCGCCTGAATCGTCAGACAGACGATTTCTTCAGCTGGCTACCAGACCCTCTATCTCTGGCAGTCAACGCTTTTCTGCAACCTTGGCCATGGGAGGGAGCCTATGCTTTCCCTCCCTTCTCGATGATTCAACGGACCCTTCACCGGGTCAAAGAGCAGAAAGTCAGGGTAGTAATAATCACCCCTCTATGGAGGGCCCAGACCTGGTTCCCTACCCTCCTGGAACAGTAGACTATCCCATCCTTCTACCTCGCTCCTTTCGCGTCCTCAGGAATCCAATGGGCGATTACCATCCTCTTGCCCTACAGGGCCATCTTCAACTGGTAGCTTGGACAGTTTCTGTGGAGCTTGGCATGTCGCAGGTCTTTCACGCACAGCTCAAACACTCCTCTGGGACTCGTGGGCTCCAGGAACCAAACGAACCTACCTCTCTGCTTGGCGGAGTTGGGTTAGCTGGTGTCTGGAGAGGGACCTTGATCCCGCTTCAACACCTCTCTCTCCCATTTTAAACTTCTTATCATCTCTCTTCGATCAGGGTAAATCTTACCGATCGATTAATATTTTTCGTTCCGCCATTTCGGTGGCCCATGACACTATTGACAATTTCTTGGTTGGGAAACACCCTTCCATGTGCAGACTTTTACGGGGCATTCGTTTGATGAGGCCACCTTCTGCCAAACATTCTAAGTTCTGGGATGTCTCTCAGGTTTTCACACTGTTGGATTCCTGGCCACCTAACGAGGCCTTATCCTTATGCCAACTCTCTGCGAAATTGACCTTGCTACTGTGTCTGGTGTCCTTCCGCAGAGTTTCAGACGTTCACGCTTTTGACTCTCACGCTGTCACCTTTGCACCAGACGGTGTCAGATTTACCATTACTAGACGCACTAAGACGAATTCTTCATCAGTCTTTTATCCATACTTTCCCGATAGGCCGTCACTCTGTGTGGCCCTGTGCACCCGTTGTTACATTGACAACACTATCTCTTTGCGTCCCCCTACCGGACCTCTGTTTGTCTCTTACGTTAAACCTCATAAACCGGTCTCCTCCCCCACCATTGCACAATGGGTAAGATGGTTGCTTACCCAAGCAGAAATTGATAGCTCTTTCGGAGCTCACTCCGTTAGGGGAGCAGCCGCATCCTCCGAATTTTGTGCAGGCAGCTCACTGGCGGATATTTTAGCCTCCGCAGATTGGTCAAGAGAATCTACCTTTCGCACCTTTTCTTTTAAACCAACACCACATGCGGCTTGTTCCTTTATTCAAGAGCGTTAAAACAGCAAATATGAAGCCTCCTGTCTTGCCATAAAATTAGGGATTATTCTAGTTTACAGTGAACGAATAATCAAAATTTTATTAAAGACAGGAGGCAAATATTTTCCCTCCCTTCGTTCACTCTGGAACCCACCCTACAGGTAAGTTCTCACTCTGAGATTATTGCATTGTACACTCCCTTGCAAATTGATTTGTACGCATACACTTACTATACAGGGAGGGCAAACTTGTACATTCCTTGCAGTTTGTTTGGTAGGCATACAATTAACACTGATCTGGTGGCATAGCATACCTACTCCATATTGTACCATTATGTGCTTAAATCAGTCAGGATACTCTGGACTCTCGTTTTAGAATGTGTATTTGTACATTTTCTCTTCTTCAAGAGACCATACTTTCACAGTCTCTTTTCTTCTCTTCTAGTATGAAAACTTCGGATTACCTTCTTCATCTACCCGTTTACATGGTTGGCTTGCTACGGACTAAACCGCAGAATGTTTCCAGTTTACAAGTTGTTTCTACTATCCTGATCGGCACCACCTAAGAAAGAGGAAGTGGGAGGAGTCTGGTGGCACTATATTGCCCTATGTTGTGTTATGATTGGTTGAATTTTTTTACAACCTTGTTAACTTTTTCTTTGCTGCTGGGAGTTTCAGTAAAGAAAGATAAGCAAATATTCGCCTCCTGTCTTTAATAAAAATTTAGATTATTCGTTCACTGTAAACTAGAATAATCCCTAATTCTAAAGAAACCCAATCTTGACCCTAACTCCCCATCCAACTATCGTCCTATCTCGCTACTGCCTTTTGCATCCAAGATCCTTGAAAAAATTGTGTATGCGAGATTGACAGACTTCCTCGAGTCCAACTCTCTGCTAGACCCACTTCAGTCTGGTTTCCGCGCTTAGCACTCTGTGGAAACGGCACTGACCAAAGTATCCAATGATCTACTCGCTGCAAAATCTCGTGGTCACTACTCTATCATAATTCTCCTTGACCTGTCTGCGGCTTTTGACACTGTTGATCATCAACAGCTTCTTCTCATCCTCCGCAATATCGGTCTACAAGATACAGCTCTCTCCTGGTGCTCCTCCTACCTCTCCCAGCGCTCTTTCAGTGTTTCTTTCTCTGGCTCTGCTTCTTCTCCCCAACTTCTCTCTGTTGGTGTCCCCCAAGGTTCAGTCCTTGGTCCCCTACTGTTCTCCATCTATACTGCCTCCCTTGGTAAACTCATTAGCTCCTTTGGCTTCCAATATCATTTCTATGCAGATGACACCCAAATCTACCTGTCCTCTCCTGATCTCTCCCCGTCCCTCTTGACTAGTGTCTCTGACTGCCTCTCTGCTGTTTCTAACTGGATGGCTGCCCACTTCCTTAAACTAAACTTGACCAAAACTGAAATTCAGTTTTTTCCTCCCTCAAGTGTTGTTACTCCTGTGTCTGTCTCCCTCCAAGTCAACGGTGCTACCATCAGCTCCACCACACAGGCTCGCTGCCTAGGTGTTCTCTTTGACTCCGACCTCTCCTTCAAGCCTCATGTTCAATTTATCGCCAAATCCTGTCATTTCCATCTAAAAAACATTGCGCGCATCCGCCCCAACTTAACGCCAGATGCGACTAAGGTGTTGGTCCATTCCACTGTCCTTTTTCGCCTACTGTAATCCGCTTCTCAGTGGTCTTACGTGCTCCCAACTAGCGCCGTTACAGTCCATAATGAATGCGGCGGCAAGGCTCATCTTCCTGTCCGCATGCACCTCCCATGCCTCACCTTTCTGTCAATCCCTACATTGGCTTCCAATAAAATATAGAGCTCAATTTAAAATTCTGGTTCTTGTTTTTAACTCTCTACATAATGCTGCTCCCACCTATCTATCCTCCCTTATACACAAGTATGTACCGTCTAGGCCCTTACGATCTGCTGAAGATTTACGTCTATCTTCTGTCCGTACTCTCACCTCTGATGCTCGCCTTCAAGATTTCTCGAGGGCTGCACCGTTCCTGTGGAACTTGCTTCCCTCCTCCGTTAGATACTCACCCAGTCTCCACTTCAAAAAATCGTTAAAAACCCACTTCTTCATAAAAGCGTATCCATTAAACTGTTAATAGCTTCTGACTGATTCCTCTTCTGCAACTGTCATTAGTCTAATACTATCCTTACCTATTTGTGTCATTTTACCTCACTCCCTCTAGCATGTAAGCTCATTGAGCAGGGCCCTCAACCCCTCTGTTCCTGTGTGTCCAACTTGTCTGGTTACAACTATATGTCTGTTCGTCCACCCATTGTAAAGCGCTGCGGAATTTGACGGCGCTCTATAAATATCATAATAATAATAGCATCTCAGGGGAACCCTGTCTTTTATATACACTGCTCAAAAAAATAAAGGGAACACAAAAATAACACATCCTAGATCTGAATAAATTAAATATTCTTCTGAAATACTTTGTTCTTTACAAAGTTGAATGTGCTGACAACAAAATCACACAAAAATTAAAAAAATGGAAATCAAATTTTTCAACTCATGGAGGTCTGGATTTAGAGTCATACTCAAAATTAAAGTGGAAAAAAAAACTACAGGCTGATCCAACTTTGATATAATCTCCTTAAAACAACTCAAAATGAGGCTTAGTAGTGTGTGTAGCCTCCACGTGCCTGTATGACCTCCCTACAACCTCCCTGTATGATCCTGATAAGGTGGCGGATGGTCTCCTGAGGGATCTCCTCCCAGACCTGGACTAAAGCATCTGCCAACTCCTGGACAGTCTGTGGTGCAACGTGACGGTGGATGGAGTGAGACATGATGTCCCAGATGTGCTCAATTGGATTCAGGTCTGGGGAATGGGCAGGCCAGTCCATAGCATCAATGCCTTCGTCTTGCAGGAACTGCTGACACACTCCAGCCACATGAGGTCTAGCATTGTCTTGCATTAGGAGGAACCCAGCATATTGTCTCACAAGGGGTCTGAGGATCTCATCTCGGTACCTAATGGCAGTCAGGCTGCCTCTGGCGAGCACATGGAGGGCTGTGTGGCCCCCCTAAGAAATACCACCCCACATCATTTCTGACCCACTGCCAAACCGGTCATGCTGGAGGATGTTGCAGGCAGCAGAACGTTCTCCACTGTGTCTCCAGACTCTGTCACGTCTGTCACATGTGCTCACTGTGAACCTGCTTTCATCTGTGAAGAGCACAGGGCGCTAGTGGCGAATTTGCCAATCTTGATGTTCTCTGGCAAATGCCAAACGTCCTGCACGGTGTTGGGCTGTAAGCACAACCCCCACCTGTGGACGTCGGGCCCTCATACCACCCTCATGGAGTCTATTTCTGACCGTTTGAGCAGACACATGCACATTTGTGGCCTGCTGGAGGTCATTGTGCAGGGCTCTGGCAGTGCTCCTCCTGTTCCTCCTTGCACAAAGGTGGAGGTAGCGGTCCTGCTGCTGGGTTGGTGCCCTTCTACGGCCTCCTCCACATCTCCTGATGTACTGGCCTGTCTCCTGGTAGCGCCTCCATGCTCTGGACACTACGCT